CCCCCCCCCCCCCCCCTTCTGTACTTGTTAATTTTTTACCATCAATAATGGTGACCATGTGAACTTGTGAGGTAGGAGTAACATATGTAATGTTGTTTCCTGAAAATTTATGCTGTGTTATAACTCAAAGAGATCTTGTTGAGTTAATATTGTTTCAGAATATAAAACATGGCAGCCACACAAAGTCTGCATTCAGCTTTTGGTTTGATGGCAATAACTGATGAACTGTTGAAGCTATTTGGAGACAGTTCATAAACATTCCTAAATATTCTGAAATTTGTCTACATATTAGCAATAAAGGGTTATATGTGGCATATTTAATGTATTTTAAATCTGTAAATAAGATCACAGATCAACATTCTCATTATTAATAAGTGTTGATTACAGCTGCAGAATATGTTTTGTTGGCAAGGTAGTGCTGACAAAGGGAAGGAAGGAGACATAGGCTACCACTCTTTCATTATTCACCATACAATCCCTGTTATTTGACACTATAAGGCCTCAGCTATTGACTGCATCGTTAAATAAACCACAAAATTGATAAGTCATGATTTGTCAATGACAGTGGATCTGTTCATAAAAATGTGCAAAAAGAAAATAACTTAAAGCCTATGCTACAATAAACGCAAAAAGCAGTGCATCGATAGATCAGCTATTTCTGCTGCTGCTACCACACACACATTCTACATTTATAAATTCAGAGTTGCTATACATGATAAAAAACATGATATTGAATATGGCACATTGAAATTTTCTACAATTTATCGCCAGATGCGGCCCATAGTACCTCTTTATGTCGACCCTTTAACGTATTAATAAGTAACATAAAGCTACGACTGGCAAATCGGGACGAACACACGAAAATCTGAAATTCTGTATCACAGTATTTGTTTAATTTTGTGGTTTCTATCGATTTGATTTTGTTGAACTCTGAATTGTTCATTATTTGGTAGATCTGCGATGTTAAAAATAGTCAATAAAAACATGTGGCGAAGACCCCCCAATATTATAGTAAGCCAGGTACTTCAAAGGAGTGTGTGTGTTAGTAACAATCGACAGATATTCATTATTGCAAATGTGCCATTTAGTTTGGAGAGGGGAAATTGGCTTATCAGTTCTCCAACAGTATTGCAATTGTCAGTGTTGACACTAATCTACAGTTTCTGCCAGAACTCGTGCTTAACATTGTTTAGAATTTTGGATTTTAATACATTTCTTAAATATTGGCCAACAAAAATTAACGATGATTATGTTGTTTATTTTACAGAATTGAATTCCCGTGGTAAAATTTCATGCCAAATGTAGAATTTCTTTCCCAATGTGCACTGTTGATGCGACTAAATTTTCTTTAGTTAGTTTCTGGATAGAAATGCGATAGTTCTTTTATCATACACAAATATTATTCTTTTGAAAGTTAATACCGGTTCTATTCTTGCTAGATGTGCCATTAATTCTCATTTCTGGAACCAAATGTCAATTCTCTTGCAGAGCAAAAACAAGCCCAAGTTTCATACAAATAAAGTAAGTTTCAGCTATTTTGTTGTAATGTTCAGTTTTGTGTTGGTTACAATATATTTGAATGCCCAGGCTATTGTAACACATATATTTCAACATGGCCCGCAATCATAAACCTTCAGATGCCAAACACTAAAGTCAGTACATTTCAAAAAGTGTTTCACTTTTCTGAAATTAAGCTATTCAGTACCACACCCCCTCCCTCATAAAAGTCTGAATCAAAATAAAAGAAATGTATTTGTGCTATGACATATTCCACATCTTTGGCTTGGGCCTATGAATGATCTATGGAATGTAAATAAATTCTATTCTATTCTGTTCCATAGCGTCGAATGAAAGGATATTAGTGCATGATGAATTGGAAAGCGTGTGGAAAGAAGGTTGTGGTCTAATTTCAGGTACTATCCTGGCATTTGACTGGAGGGACTGAGGAAAACCTGTCAGGGTAGCCGATCTCCGAGCCGAGATTTGAACCCAGGTACTATTGATCGATTAGAATTCTGTTTTTCAATATCCCAGTTATAATACTGTTAATTTCGTGACATACAATTCCTTGTCGTCGTGAACGAATATAGTTATCAACCTATCGTTCCATGTGCTCTGTGAACTGATTCAGTGATTAGTCGAAATTCATGTGACTTTCCGATCCACATACGACCTATCGGGTCCGACCGGAAGTACGAATTCGATATTCTGTGAATTAAATCCGGTCATTTATGGCCTCTAATGGGTTTGGTTAAGTGTAGGCTAGGATGGCCCATTTGTTATTTGATACATTATCTGGTGAGAATTAATGTTACAAGCGTATGAATATGTGGAACCATTATGTATGAAGCATTGTGTAAGAATTTTTGTCCTTTTGGGTTGCAGGTGTGACCGTAGACAACCAAACGGCTCTGACAGTTCAGTCCCTTCTAGACTCTCAGAATTTATCCAACGAAGGTTTACCTGGAACGACAATTGTTGCTTCTCGTCCACCAAGTAAGTATTTACACTAAGTATTCCCATAAAGTAATGTGCTCTTGAACCGCAACAGTGTACCCATGTAATGTGACTGTAGAACACAAGACACTTGTTCTGGTGGAATACCAGTGGAGGGAAATGAAGCAATTTGAAATTTATTAAAAGGTGGTTAATCCTATAACTATCGATTATATTTTGTACACATGGCACTGCATGATGTGCGAAAGTTCTGCAATCGTGCCATTTTGACAAAATGAAATTCGTACTTTGATGGGCAAATGTCAATGTTTATTTTGAGACCAGCCAAGTACCATGCTAGTAATCACAAAAAGTACAAATTTCAAGGCGTACATAAGTGGAAGACAAATCTATACTGTCCAACAAAGGCTTAGAGGTGACCTTTTTCTGTAATAGTAAAAATTATTTTAAGTCAGTTTGTAGTGATGCTTATATGCAGGCACTTCAGGAAAAATGTCATTAGAATATTGCATAATGTTAGAAAACAAAATTGTTTGATCTTGTTTGCCTTCTAAACAGATTCTTGGATGCAGTGTCTAGTTTTATGTCGTAAATTGTAAAATTAAACAAATGTTCTTCCCACTGCGATAATTTAAATTCTGTATTTGAAGTCTGAAGTTTAATGCTATATAACCTGTGCACTTGAGAAAGCATGACATAATAAAGTGACAGCAGTATATCCAAGAAAATAATTTGATGGACTGAGGTATAGATTAGCATATTAAAATGTGTTTTAAATTTATTGTAATATCAGCTAATTTAATCTGGTTTAGGATAGTTTATAGTTTCATGCTTGCATTGTAACTCCTCATGTTTAGATTGTGCTAGACAGTTTCAGAATGTTACTAAGTTGGTAAATGGAGGGCATGTCTCTATAAAGAGTGAAACCCATTCTTCAGGCCTATACACAGTATGCTTATGATTTATGACAGAACTCAGTGCAGCCAAAGTCTATCAAATGAAAGTTTTTGTGGCCAACCTGAGGGAACCAGTGTTTACTAATTTGAAAGAAAATTGAGTTACCAGTGACCTCTCAATTGCTGTAATGGCCCAGATTTTCCCCTAGCCCTTACAGTTATCACTGATGATGTTTTTCATAATTTGGTTTTTCAAGTTCCAGATACAGTAGGGCCCCGCTTTTCGGCGCTCCGCTAATATGGCGCTCAACAGCTGAGTCAGATAAGTGTGTCCGGCGCCATTTTCTCGTCGCTGATTCAGTCTGTTTACAGCTTTTGTGCGCTCCGCGTCTTTCTGTATTTCTGGCAGTTTTTCCGTTATTACAAACTGTATATTTATATAATATTTTTGTGTTACTACAGTGTAATTACAATGGCGTCTAAGGGTAGTAGCGATAAAAAGAGGAGTCGTAAGCCTCTTA